ATAATAGTTGTCTATTTCGTTTTAATAAATACTAAATTATAAGTGAATCATCATAACTTTTAACAAAGTTATTAAATTAGCAAATTAAGTAGGTATTTTAAAATGGAAGGATGTAAAATAATTAATTTTTCACTATCACTTTGTTTCCTTTGCAGCGGTAATATTACTCACCATTTTATTTTTTTCATCCATTTCCTTACTCTTTTTGATATCTTCGAGGTTGAGCTTAGCGATTTTTTCGGTTTCTTCCTTCTCTCTTTGAATTTCAAATGCGTATGCTATTCTTTGGTCTTCGATTTGTTTGCGCCTGATCGCGTTTAATTCTTCTTCAACCGCGATTTTTTTTATGGCCTCTTCTCGTTCCTTACGGCGCCACTCGCGTTCTACCTGTAATTGAAAAATATTAATACAGTACATTATACATTATACATTATACATGTACAATTTAACCAATTTAGGAACTATAAAGCATGAGTTATGAGAGGATGAATGTATAATTACATATTAATAAAATAGTACTCATCGCTGGCTATAATAATACATAATATATTAGTATACCATCAATATTTAAGTCCACGTACATACTGCAATGTGCAATGTCGGAGTTAAACATTTTATTGTTTATATAAGAATCAGATATTGTGATAGTTTCTAAGCTTAAATATTTTCTTTAAGTTTGTGAACCAATTAATTGTGTATATGTTAAGTATAAAACCTATATGCTGAGCTGTGAAAATATATTGAACTGAAATCTTAAAATAATTACTACCCGAATGTATTTTTTACACCAAGATTGTTATGAAGTTTTTCTGATCTAATAAAGTGATATCTGCAGAAACAGTTTTTCTATTCAATAGAGAAATTTAAGAAAGGTGGTTAAATGAGGGGTTAAATGCCAATAATTAGCTGATACATATAATATTTGATAATTTAAAATACAATCTATGGTTAGGTACTGTTTAATTTTTATACCTATATATAAGTTAAAAATATTGGAAATAATTTTACGTGGGATTTTATGTCTTTTTATTTATTTTGTGTATTTGACCATTTMTAGTGATTATCTATAAGAAGACATTAATTAGTCAAATATTGACTTTCAAGCCATTTATAAATATTTTTATTCTTTAATCGGTTATAAACTCAACCGTGGTATCGGCGCGCAACCTCCGTGGCTCCGATCATATTATATAATTAGTATAATGTTGTACATCTATACGAACGGCGAGAGCGTAACATTTTCCATCACCCGTCGTTTTCAGTTCTTTACGTGTCCCGTKTCCGTTATGCCAACAACACCAGTTTGATGTACATTCTTTGTCTGCATATTATTATCAAGGTAAGATCACAGCTTATCGAGCATATTATTATGTAGTAAGTACGACAGCCGACAGGCAGGAACTATTAAAGTTTATAGCCGAAGTATAGTTTTTTTTTCAGCCCATTGTGGGAACATTATTTTRACAACTTGCTACATTTTAGTTATTGAACAAGCTGGTTTTTAAAATATTTAAAATAGCCTATATTATTTCCCTAAAAAAAGTTTATACCTATATTATTCACAAATGACATACTGTCATAGGTACTCCTATAATCTACCGGAAGTCAACTAATGCCCGAGATACTATTGATACTCACCTTCCCCCATAGGTATGGTTGATTTTTTAACGTGCATTATTTATTTATTAAAAATATAATTAATGATTATCAGAAATTATAGATTTAAAAAAGGGCCATGGTGCCCCCTCCCCACCATTACTATAATTCTATAAATGGCTATAGTAGAATTAATATACCTATAGTTTTATTCGTACGCGCCTCATTTAGGTACGACTAATATTGACATTTAAGCTTATTAATTACCTATATAYCAGACGTAGAAATACTTGAAGTTTATTTTGGTCTTGATTTTTTTGGGATTATATCGGGTGCCAATAATTTAATTATTATAGGTATCTACATCTAGTCATCTTGCTTTTAGCTGAGGTGGGTATTATGTATTGTTTTTTAAATATTATTTTTTCTTATTATGCGCTATCTAAATATTTAGTTTTGTATTTTTTTAATTAGAAATGCTAAATGTAATTMTCTGATCTCTTGTATATGTATAATGTATATTGTATAATRTACAAAATAAAAAAGCATTTTATTCTCATTGTTCAAATTGTTGAGTACCGCGTTTACCTGGTCTCTGACTCTGAGCGCATTTAGCTCGTCTTTGGTGGCTTGCAAATCGTACGTAGCTTGTTGACTCGCCTGTATCTTGGCTATAGATTTTTCCTTTAGTAATTTCTGCTTTTGTTGCTCTCTTTCGAACGCTATTTCYCGTTCGTTCTTTTTACGCGTGTATTCTTGTATCTGTGACAAAATAATACCTRTTATGGGAATTGAATTTCAATAAATCAAACTTAAAATAATTTATCTAATATTTTGATATCGGTGATGGCCTTAGATAGTTGACGATAAAAATTTCCGTTGAGATGATTTGTGTTTACTATTTAAGCGGAAAATGAATTGCGTATCAAGATAACTTTTTCATTTGAATTGCATATTATTTTATGGGACGCCTCACGTGCATTTGTTACCTCCATTTTACAAATGAACGAACATGGCAAATTTGACCTTCACAATAATACATTTTTCCGTTAAATTGTATAAGAGGAAAATTCACTCTAATTTTAGATATTACTGAGTAAAATGTATTGTAAACTTAGAGTTTGCCATGTTGTAAATTTGTAAGTTAGAGACTAGAGACAACAAAATGCCCGTTTATCGTCCTCTAAGAACTAGGTACATCAATTACGMTCGGAGTATATAAATGAATGTACCTATAGTAATAATAATGCATCAAACGCATTAAATGTAAATAAATWATTTCTCTTTCCATTCAATACAGACTTAGAATTCAGCAACACTGAATATTATACTGCTAAAAGTACGTTAAAAATATTATTCTGATAATTTCATTGTCACATTATGTAATTTACATACTATTATTTATAGATGTAGGTATGCCTAATAAATTTAAAAATATCGACTTATTATAGCTCAGCAAAATTTCGATTTTTTAAAAGCGCTATCTAGCGTATAAATTTGAGTTCAATAATTTGTGTGTTGGTAACTAAACATCGAAATCTTCATGTAAACATGTTTTTATGTAACTATTCAATATTTATTAATTATTACTTACTATTGTATTGTATTAGAGTTAGAGTTAGGTGTAAAAAATCATTAAACGTTAATTATTAATGTGATTAGTTAGTATGAAGGTAAACAATATCTTATAGAAAGTTTTCAATTATTAAAAACGCTATTTACCAACAATTACCTATTGCTTTTTATTACCCGTTGATGCGTTTTTGCATATATGATGTACCTTAAATGTTGTTTTGTGACTTTTCGTTATTACATATATTATTTTATGTGTTCTATACTTCTATATTGAATTCAAATTCAAATATGTTGTTTTTATTGTCTTCTATAAAAATATAAAAATTAAATTAATAAAAATATAGGTAAGGTTTCGGTTGGCAGGTTGTTATATTATAAATTATTCATACATTAACAATTTAAATAAGACAGTTTTGATGCAATAAAAACGTGATATTTTTATTATTTCTATGTTTAATTATTTGTCTTCTTAAAAATTCTTCTTTTTCATATATTTTACTTATTTTTTCTTTATTTACTTCTACTAAGAATTTCGATGTAAGTATCTTTTTTACATTTTTTAGTACATCAATAAATTTATTTCATACATTTAAAAGTCCCGCTTGATCATGCTTGACAGATGATACAGATGATAGTATAAAGTATAATACTGGCTACAACACGATTGAGCATAAAAAACTCTGCAATGTTGCCATTTTCAATTTTGAATCATATAATTATACAAAAAATATTCATTTAAATAATTTGAAATATGGTAAGAGTCTCCTTTAAACTATTGTTATATTAATTAGTAAATGGACATTTCAATTAATTTTTTTTAAGTATTAATTTTTATTATGTCAAATATACAGGGTGATCTAAGTGGGTACAATAATTATCTTGAAAAACATTAACTTTTTTTTATTTTAAACTTCTAAGTTTATGTTTTTCTAAAACCGTATAATATTTTAATTTTTTTCACCCTTATATCTATTGATGAAACCAATATCAACTTTTGATTTTCAAATGGTTACATGAATAAAAATATCACGAATTAATAAAACCATTTTTATAATGAATTTAGGTACGCGTTAATATTTTTATTTTTCGTTGATTGGTTTGCGAGATACAGCTCCTCAAAGTGGTTGAAGGAGGTCTTAGATATGGTCGGTAAATGCGGCATTGTTTATATTAGTTCTATAATATCACCTATAATCTTAATAATGTAAATATTAACTTTGTTTTTATATCTAAATTGGGCTTCCACCCGTCTTAATAATAAATAAATATTAAATAAATAAATATTTGTAGAGACTATAGGAGCTATAAACTGATAAATTCAATACCGTTCGACCTCACTTTAGGCTTACTTCTCGCGCCTTGTTTAAGTTTTGTACCTATTATAATAATTGGTGTATTAATACGCAAAAATAATATATTATTACAAAATTTCGGTAAAGTAAATGTGACAACGCCGTATAAAATATCTTATGCTCAATCATGCTTTAGGAACCTCTAATACTCATATTGCTTACGGTTTGATGAATGTATACATTTTACTATCAAATAATCTGTACGTAATTTGTATCACGAAATAGAAAAACCTRATAGCTTTTGTATGTCACTTACCGTATTTYTTATGACTGGGACGCAATTCGCTTGTAAACGATATTTAATAATATCCACTCATTTGCAAGGAATATTTATATAATTATGCAATTTTGGAGTATTATATATAGAGTGCTAAACACATATTTATTTGTGTATTTACACATTTACAGATTTCATTCTAATATAATTTTTATACACGAAGATATATAATACGTATATTATTTTATAGATTATATAGTTGTATGTGCAAATATATATATTATGTAGTTAGTAGATGCATTAGTAATGATTCTAAACATTTCTATAATAATTAATAAATATAAATTGTTACCTGCAGTACTTCGATGTTATTCATCTCTTCTTCCAGCTTTTTCGAATCTCTTATCTGTGCGTTAAGTAACATGTACTCTTTGCGTAGTTGTGCCTGTTTTTTCATTCTCGCCTTGTAGCTTTCAGCCTCATCGTGCCGGATCTTGTTCACCGCTTCCGCTCGAATCATTGCTTCCTGTATATACATGCATAACGACAGTATAAGTGAATTTCTCGTTTTCCATAAAATCGTGGTTACGAAACTCCAATTTACGTTAGGGTTATTTAAACGTTTGAAAATAATATGCAGTTACAATTTTTTTTTTAAAACGAATTTATTTTAGAATCCTCATATTCGTTTGCACAATATGTCGACTACACATACTTCTGCCATCCTAGCCAACTCCATTTCCCTAGCAATCTCGTTCTCTTTTATTTGCTTCTCAACCTCAATTGCTTGGATTTTTTTTTTTTGCCTCTCGACTTCCGCTGCCTTTTCGAGCTCTTTAGCAGCCAACGCTCGTTCCCGTTCCATCATTTCTTCCATCTTACGTTCTTCTTCCTTCATTTCTTTCCTATAATAACATAACGCGTTGGTAATTTATACAAATTCCATCGCTAACATTTATACTTTTGATTATCAAAAAAATTTTTAAAATATATTTTTCGCTTCAAGGGTGAKACGTAATTTAAGGCAGAAACTTATGAAAGGAATTAGGTATGTTGTACGCAGGTTGCGAGATCGCCTGGAGGTTGTCCCGTTCATTGAATATCTATCTAGAGAGTGTGAAGTGAAGTGTTGAACTGTTTTATTACCTACATACAAAGTGTTTAAGATTTTTGTTCGTCTATATAGAAGGTATTTAACCTTTTTCCATTTTCTCTATTATTTCTGTCCTATAAATTCTGGGAATAAACGGAATACATGAGGAAATACAGAATAGAATGAATCAATGAATCAGGATATTTGTTTAAAAAAAAAAAAAAAATGTAATAGAAACGGTAATATAATTTAATCCATAATAGTAATATTACAACAGGGCTCGT